GACGGGTGGAGGGAGGGTGGGGCGAGGGCCAGTGGTGGGCGGAGGCGGGCTGCATCCGGGTCGGGGACCTGGCGTACGGAGGCAGCCTGCGGACCGCCGACAACAAGAGAAACTTCATCTGAAATATCACCGTAGTCGCTGCCTCACAGTCTTCAGTCTGACTCATGTTTCAGCAGAATTGCGAACATTGATGAATGTTAATCTGCCACTTCAGTTGTGCTGGAGACACTGCTCCCGCGATGCGCCGTTCAGGGGGGGGAAAACAACCCGATTGGCGGAAGCGCAGAAACCCATCCTTCCTCTCCGAAGACAGCCATGTTTTCACAAGTTCCCCCGGCAGGGTTCAGCAAAAGTTTACTGCCCACACAATCCCACAACAACCCCTGTCTCCAGCACTACGAGCACTCATATAGTCAAAGCTCCAACCCTGATGGAAAAATAATACCCCTTAACTCATATACTGTTATAGCACCAAAGTGCTCTGTATTTGTGTTAAGGTGCTCGGTGTCACCTCCGTCTCTGGTGTTTTCACAGTTAAACCCGTGGTTTGCTTTTTCTTCTTTTATGTTTTGACAGTGCGGTATTCAGGCCATACAGCCTTCTTACAAGCCAATATCTCTTTTTTTCTGCAACAAATGGCACTTGGTGTATAGAGCCAGATATCAAAATGTCAAGCACTTTATGAGATGTGTGAAAATAGGGATAGTTCCATAAATGGCTCATAGAAGAGTGGAACCCCTGAGAACAAACTCCTGCCTGCACATCTGAAAAGACTTGGAGAAAAAAAGGGCTAAACTCTATGGCACAGAAACTCTCTGTGGTGCTTTTCAGCGCACCTCCCCACAGATGACCCTGCAGACAGGAGTCACTCATCAAACCGTGATCTGAGAGTTGGCTACGAGCGTTAATATACAGATACAATAAGGTATAATAGCCTGAATCTCATAAAGTGAAGGTCATTTAGGTCAGAATTATACCAAAATATGGTTTAATGCACTTTTCTTTTGGGTCAAGATCGCTTCTATGACAATTATTGCAATTGTTATGTGCATTTATAAGCTCATATTAACACGTTTCATCTGAAATCTTCAGGGGATTTGATTTGCTTGAAACTTTTTCTTATGTTTAACATAAATATTGATGTTCAAAATGGTATCTGTGAAATAGTAGCTCGACACTTACTCATACTTTTTGAGAAAAAAAATGCCCACTGACCCACTTTCAGCATTTTCTTTTTTTTCTGCACATTGAAATTTGAGGTTAAAAAGTTCAGTCACTCTGGACATCACATATTCTGGTCTTTGTGCTGTCCTGCTACTTATTGTAAAAGATTGAAGGGAAACTCTTGAGCAGTTCCTATAAATGTGCGCACACTTTATTTTCTGAGTCCAGCTTGTGACGTTGGTTTATTTCCACAATGATCATGAGAATAAATTCATCACCACTCGTTTTTTCTCACATAAATTCTTCGAATTACAATTAAATATATGTCAAGGCATGCAAATGTCCCACTAGAATAACCCCACTATCCCAACAGATGTATATATTTAGTTATAGTAGCCTTATACTGATGCCATACTGATGACGTAGAGATAAATCCCAAAGAAATGACACAAAACTACATGAATGGTCTCCTCCAAACCAAACCAATGTTTATTCCTACAAAATGGGGTCTCAAAATGAAAACTATGCCTATTTAAAGAAAATAAAACTCTTATGAATTTGCATTTTGAACTCCGATTAGGCTTCCTACCAATACTCGTGTCTGTTGCACAGCTTCTCACACCTGCTCAGTCACTTGTTAAAGTCAATGAAAACAACCTTTTTTTATTATTGTCATCACATATTTAATCTTGAAATGTATTCTATGTGTTTTTTTGTTTTGTGACATGCAGCTACATATGGCTCAGAACACATCATCATCTGTAGTATTTTTCTTAATGTGAGCTTCAAAATGAGACTTTTTCCCTATTTCAGCTCAGACTATTTGATCCACTTGTCCAATATTACAGATCGTGAATCAATGCCACGGTGAGAAATAACAGTGACAGGCTTTCATCTGTAATAGTTCCTGAGATGTTGTCATTCAAACACTTCAGTGTTTGAAACGAAATGTGCTTCAAGTGGGTCGATGGGCAGTTAGAAAGTTTTTCCTCAGGAAGTAATTTGGTATATCAAAGTAAATTTCCAAGATCGCTTTAGAAATGTGGATTTTATGCTGTAAAAAATTCAGGCAAATCAGAGATGGTCAAGCAGAAATTGTTGTAAAAAATGTATGATCTGAGATGGAATGACCCACATGTATAGTCGATGCAAAAAAGTGACAGATTAAAGGACACCTTGCTCCCAACAGTGATGGGATCCAGTGCCTCTGATGGGTCTTTATAACTCAATATCAAGGTGTTTTAAGTGATCACCTTCATTATATGATGTATGTGATTTCTGTTTTGGATGGGAGTGTCTCCTACACAACGTTAGTGCCCCCATCTTTTGAACATGAGGGGTTGCGTAGTGGGTTGATGGGTATGAAAATGATGTGAATCACATGTTATGGCCTTCACAATCAGCTGGTTGTAACCTAGTTGGACACCTCTGGGAGATTTGTGGACTGATGTGTTAGACAACACTTTTTATCTCCATCATCAAACCACCAAATGAGGCAACACTACTTGGAGAAATGGTGTTCCATCCCTCCAGTTGAGAGACTTCCAGAATCAACGCCAAGGAGCATTGAAGCTGTTCTGGCAGTACATGGCGATCCAACACCTTACTTGGACACTTTAAGTTGGTTTTTCCTTTAATGTGTCACTCTCCTGCATATAAACTTTGATGAAGAATCTCACAAATCAGCACTAAAAACACAACACTTCTTAAAGAACTTGGAGCTCCTGAGTCCTTTCTGCGTTCTTACCTGTTGTGTATTGAATTGGCAGATCCCGGCATGGCAGCTGCCGCTCCCTCCTGGACCTTGCGGTTCGAGTTACCCAAAGAGGGAGGACCCATCCCTGGCCCAGCGGGCTGGGGCATACTGGGGGAGCTGGGACCCATGGGTGGGTACACCCTGTTCTGGCTGCCTGGGCCGTGGCTGCGTCCTCCAGGTACAGGCTGGCCGGGCCCCTGGCCGTGCATGGGGCTGGTGGCGTTCATTCCTAGACTGTTGGTCATGCCGGGGCCGGGGCCGCTGTAGCTGGTACTGGCCGTCCCGCTGTAGTTAGAGGGCCGAGGGTAGTTACCTGATTACAGAACGAAAACAAAACAAAGACATGCGAATTATCTAACAAATATTTAAAATCGCTGAAAATTCCGAGCCTTACATCCGCAGTGTCACACGGATGATAAAACGCAGGTTGTTGTCCCTTGAGACATTTAAGTTGCCTCTTAAATTGATAGATTGCTCAGAAGAATGACACAGAATGGCTTCTGTGAAATACTGTAGCCACAGATGGGTTGTATGAATCACTTCATTTGAGAGAAATGGAGCGTGCTTGTCAGCTGATACTCTTATACCTACAACAGTGACGCATACGACTATTTCATCCATCAAGAAAATAATGCCGTGACAGATGAGGAATGAGGAATGTAAAAAGCCAGACTAAATTCTGATTCACGACCTCGACAAACTTCAGTGGATGCAGGAAAAAACTATTCGGGGTGTGGACTGGTGACATTTTTCACAGCCGCTGTTGCTGGATGGCCCTGGGAACAATTGCCGAGCTTAAGGCTGACTTTGTGAAACACTTGAGAGGAGCTCTAATCTGCAGTAAATGCTTTCTTGCTGCCCTGGAGTGCCACACGGCCATGATGCCAGAAGCTTTCCTAAGGCACACTTAAACCCCTCCATTTTGGCTTTAAAAGCCCTGCTCGACTCCAACTGCAACAAGAGCTGAAAGAGAATCACCATGCTGTCAAAGGCAACATGTACATATACATTGAGGCACATTGAAAGACATCTACTGTACATGGAGGAGCTGCACACATGCACACACACAGAGCACATAACATTGTATTCCCTCTACAGGCGCTGAGCCTTTTCCACTGTGATATTCCCTCCCTGGGACAAATCCCCCCGCAAAATAGAAATGGAAAATGTGGCATCCTCCATTGTGAAGGGGGCTATTTATTTTGATTTGATTAAGGGTGCTTTAGTTGGGCCTCACTGCTTAATCCTCTGAGAATATGTCTGGAAAAGGGGATCAAGTCCCTTTAAAACCTGAAGGCTTTTCCGCACACTCAAACGAGGGAAAGTTAAATGACAATATTCCACACGGGGGAAAAAAAACAACTCTGAAAATGGAAATGGCTTCCCAGTGTCCTCGAGCTGCTTCAGCGAAGACACTTTCCACATGACATAAGCCTGCGAGTCCAACAGAGGAAGCGTCGGAGGGTGGGGGCGGAAAGAGAGGAACACATGCAGACAGCCAGGGAGGGGAAAAAAAAAACCTCCTCCTAACCCCCCTCCAACCCCCAAGATAGGATTTATATTGAATCAAAATAAAAGTCTTTCCCATAAAAGTCTGCATCTCCACTTGAATTTGTCCAGAAATTGTGATGAAATCTACTGTGGGAGATGGGAAAAGAAGAAGCGGATTATTTCTGGGCAGGCTTTGGTGAGTCGGTGAGCTGAGTGCGGCTGACACCTGTCAAGGGTTTTGGGGCTATAATAGGGAAGCATTCAGGAAGAAAGAACGTCTGCTAACGAACACAAGAGGATATGTATGGTGCACGGTACATGTGTGTGTGTGTGTGTGTCTGCTTGACTGTGTGAATGCATATAGAATACTTTGGAGACCCCCGCAACCGCTGAAAGGCACATTTCCATGTTTCTTCCACTCATAAGCGACTGCCTCCAACGCTGTGGAAAATCCTGGGAACGGTGCCCTGTGCCCTCCCTCGCTCTCCGCTCAGCTGGATGGTTTGCTGCAGACGAACAAGGCCCCAGTCAGCGACCTCTCTCAGCCCTCTTTGGACAGCTGTTGAGACCCATGTCGTGGCTGCCTGCCATACATTCTCAATAGCCTGGGTGGACACTTTGTGGTTTTTGGCCCTTGTGACTGGCTGAGACTCCAGCACACCTCCCGGGGAGTTGTTTATATCATACAGGCCCATTTGGACAATCTGCATTTTTTTTTTTCCCGCCTTTAGCAGATGGGCCAAAGCCCCAAAAGTGGGAGTGAGAGCGTGGAAGTTTCCATGAGAGTGAGTTCAACTTGGTTTTTTTGTTTTATTGGGCTGGTGAAACGCTAAGCCAAATCTAACTTAAGAGGTTTGCGCTGAAAAAAAAATGCATCATTAAGTCGGCATTAAGCATTAAGAGAAGTTATTGCTTTTGATGTACCACCATTCAAAATGTTCCAGTTGTGGGACGGGTTTGCCTCGGCTGACAAAGGAAAGACAGAGTGGCTGTGGGACGGGGGGGTTAATGCTAAGCTTTCCGATGAGAGTCTTGCTTCGTCCTGACAGGAATGATTCACTTCCTGAAGGATTGGTGCTGCGCCCAGAGTGCTTCTTCAAGGACAGATAGCGAACTAACCCACTTTTTAAACTGATTGAGAGCTCAACCTGAAAATTTGAGGGTGTTTTCTTAAGAGACATTCATGCTTTCTACAGCTCGGAAAGTGCTGTTAGATTTACACGAGATGAGGAAGTCGGATCGTTGCTGAGGTAAAAATGGAGCACAATTTAGAAAAAGAAGAAGAGAGGCTGCAGTGGATTACTTGCTGATAAAAAAAATGCATCCAAAAAAAAAACACCTCCCTTGTCAGGAAATAAAAATGAAGCCGGGTTTCTTTTCTTAGCCATGACATTGGCTTCGTGTGACATTGTGAGATACATTAGCTGGTTTATTGTGCAAACTTCTGAATTCTTCTGGTGTTCAGGAAGAAGAAGAAGAAAAAAAGTGCAGCGTCGGCGTTTATTATGCACATGTTAGCATTAACATGTACGCAGAAGTGTGTCATCTACTTTACCTACTTTGCATGCTACTCCTACTGCGTTTGGAAACTAATCAAGGGAAGGACAAGAGAAAAAGAGGACAAGGAGGATGTCATTTCTTATTTGCACCTTCTCGCGTCCTTGCGGCTCAGTCTTGGTTTCTTGCCTGCTTCCTGGTGCCTTTGGGGAGCCTTGGCGGTATTTATAGCGCGATGGAGGGGAGGAGAAGGAGAAGGAGAGCTCATGGTGCTTCGTTCACAATTACATGGAAATTCCCGGCACGGTCACGCATTTTGGTGGACGCTATATCCTGCGCCGGGTTTAATCCCTGCAGTCCCGCAGGAGAGCCGGAGTGTGACCGAGCAGATTACTGTCTACTGCTTCCTCAGCAGACTGGACCGGCCAATGCTAACAGCCGAGGCAGTCATTTCTCCCGTCTACGGCGGAGCGAGGTGTGATGGTGCACCAGTGTGCCCTCCGGACCTGTGAGCTCCATCAATAAGGAGTGGAACGCAGATTACATGGCTACATGCTTGAGCTGCCAAGGACAGAAGCGTGGGCAGGCTGTCCATGTCCACATGTGGCTGAACACAAATAAAAGAAATGAATACCAGCATTTTTCTCTCTTACTTTTTTTTTTTTTTTGTGAATGTAGTTGGAGGAAAACGGCTTCAGTTGGGGAGGTGGGAAATAAAGAAAGAAGTGTGTCGATAAGCATAGACGCCTCCTGTACTCATTTCGAGATACCATCTTCTCAACGTGTTATTCAGTCGTATCAAGCACAACAGTTTTACTTAAAACATCATTTTAAATGTTTCTAAAGCAGTTAAATCTGTTTCACATCCCCTGGCGCGGAAAAACAAATGGCAGATTTCTCCCCTTGCTTCGTATGGCTTTCAGACTGCAGTATTTATGTATGACTTGCTGGGATGGATTTTTTTTTTTTTTTGCAGCATCTTCTCTTGCCTGAGGCCCCCACATCTTCTCCCAGCCACCTCAGCACCTTCCCCGGCAGGGTTTCTGAGCCTGAGCAGGGCTGGGGTGCGCCTTGGGGCTGCTGAGCTCCACACACTGTCAATTTCCTCCGAAAAACTCTACTCCCTCCCCTAGGCATTCTTTTTTTTTTTTTTTTTTTTGGGGGGGGGGGAGGCTGAAATACATTGCGGCTCCGACAAGGCACCGAGGCTTAAAAGTCCTGTCTGAAGCATGGTCATTACCAGCGGAGTGCTTAACCCCTCGAGGGGGAGTATGTGGTGGAGGGAACTATGCAACGGGGTGGGAGAGAAAGCAGAGCTGAGACAGGCTCCAAATCTCTTTCCTGTAATGGCATAATATCCTCCTCCCCCATCTGTCTGTGTGTCCACTGTTCTCAACATGCTGGCTCTGTACCACGTCCAAGTGCATGTCTTGCAAACAGCTGTTGGAGTCATTTGAGTCCTGAGGAGAGTCTGATATCAACACAAACAGTGAGAGATCAGTTTAACGTTGGATAAAGAGGCCTTTCAAAGGACAGCCATAAACATTTAGCAGCTTAAATATTTTTTTGGAACCGTTGGCCGGTCCTCTCGCTGCAAGAGCTCTCGTTTAGACAGTGAGAAAACAGAAAAAGTGGAAAAGCTTTGGCAAGCTCACTCTGGAAGAAAACCTTTTTGGTTACAGTCAAGGAAGCAGACTTATCTAATCAAAGATCTCTGGAAGCGACTACAAAATATTTCAGGACGGTTTGTAGAAGAGCCGTGTCCCTCCTGCACTCTCATGTATCACCATATTGGATGGAGCTTATGTCGCCGATCACACAGGCTGCGCTATAGGTGTGTAGCCCTGATAAAAGAACCGCCTTTAAAGTTACAGAACACCAGTCCGCTTTGTGCGTTCTCTGGTGAGCTGCAAACTCTCCCGGTGTGTGTGTGCGCCGTTGCTGAAAAATTTCTCCACACACACGACTTTACGCGCAGAACCGCTAAACCCTAAAACTCTCCCAGCGCGAACAGGCCAAGAAAAACAGCAGAGCAGAGTTCAGGAACTTGGAGTGAGTTTCTGTGTTGGCTAATTTGCTAATACACTAGGGAGAGGGAAGGGAAGCAGATGGAGCTGTCATTAAGAACAATGACCAGCAGCTGTCTGCCATGTTCACCCCACACAGACCCCGGATGGGCCCTGGCTATGTCCTGGAGTCTGAAAGAATCCTTAAGATTACAATTAAGTTTATAGCAAGATAAAGCCAGATGATAAAGTTTTAAACTCGGCTCAACTTTTGGTAGGGCAGCGTTAACTATGTACAAGCCTACATTCCTGGTTTTTACAGCTTTTTATCGTGTAAAAATACTTAAACACCGTCTTATAGTATTTTCGGTGTGTTGGCTGGAGCTGAAATTCCTCATTTTCTTACCAAACAAAATGTTTTAACGTCGCTATTTTCCGACCGCAAACAGCCTAAAGAAGGATTATATTAGGTAGAAAGTAAATAATAAGAATTAGAGGTTAGGGTAACATATTAGAAAGGGACTGATAATGGATTTTTCCTTGAGGTCATCAGCTAATACGAGTGAGTGTAGCTACTATATATAACTAAATAAACACAGTCTCCATATTTTTTGAGTTTCTTGTTCCTGGAAATGCTGCGTGTCATTACCAATGCAGCCACTCAAGTGCCACTTTAAAGATACTTTCTGCACAGCTGTCTGAAAATATCCAAGAGTAGACGGAGGTCAGTCGGAAGTTTATTATATTTGAATGAGAATATAGCGGCATATATAGATTGCATACAGTAAGCGTGTGATGAGCAGACAGCATGCCTGAGCCGTTCTTTCTTTTTCTTTTCGTTTCTGATGGGAACATCTCTCCTGTCATCCGAGTGAGATTTCACGCTCATCTGCCTCCAGAGCTTCTTCCAGGCTAGTCCGCCTCGCTGTCGCTCTCTGCTTACTTCATTTCTCTTTTTCTCTTTGCTTACTGGGCTGTCAGCCCAGCCAAAGTCACATTAAGAGATAAGAGTGGGTGGAGAAGGGAGACCAAATACCAAATGCATTAGGGCTATTAATCAACATTAACAAATGTGAGGAAGAGGCCGCAAATTTGGGAAAACACACGCACGGATGGGCGCATTTATCAAGGTGACACATTAAAACACACATTTACCATTAAAAAAAATACCATAATGTTTCGTCTGGTGTGTCGCCAAAGGCGGAAAACAAAGTACAACAGCAGATGTCAACGTTTGTTGGATGGCTGGGAGTCGTTCGCTGGAGGAAGAAGCGGGCGGAGAATGCTTAATTATACAAAACGATGCGAAGTTTCCCCCCCCGAAATTTTCCTGGAATCTGAATTGCGTTTTATTTCCCATGTTTTTTTTCCTCGAGAATCAGAGAAGACTTATGCGACTGGTTTCCTGAAAGGCTCATCAAACGGGCCAACATCCTGTGGTAAACCGAGGAGGACTGCTCCGAGGGAAATATCCAAACGATAATTCAGGAACAATTAGATGCTGTTTGTATTGATCACTCTGGATTAATGTCACTTTTGAAACTACTATGCAACAATTAACAAATATCATGCAATTACTCAAAATTGTAAGTACTATGACCTACAGTTAAACTATGAGCAACATCTGGAGTAACTGTAAAGCTTAATATTTGTTAGTTAGCATATATATAATAAAATGTGAACCTATATTTTTAGACCACTTTGGGTTAAAAAAGTTGTGAAACTACAATTACAGCTCCTACTATTTGAGGACTTGTGTCTCTTTGCTGTGCATTCTGGCACCAAAAAAACATCTCCTCATCGTGGAGTTTCGCCTTTTTTTTTTTTTGAGGGGAAATGTGATTTTCAACATCATCTTGGTGTAAATACGGGACTAAAAATACACATGAAGGACCTGCGAATTTCAACAGTGCCATAAGTGTCTCATTAGAAGAAAAGACTGTGTGTTTTTAAGACATGACAGTCCTAGTCAGAACGTAGGGGGCCATAACTATTTCAGAAGTCCCTTTCGGTACTCAATTTAGCATCAAAGGAAGTGTGCGGCTGCTCTTATTTGGATATAATTCTGCAAACACTATGTGCAGAGAAGCATGTATTCGAAGCATTTCCCCCCCCTCCGTATCTATAGCATGTTGAAACAGCCAAAGTGGAACACTTAAAAGATTACATCCCCCACTTTTCTTTGAGGCTAATGTCAAAACATTAATCCAGAAATTGGAGATCATCATTCAGTGCATAAACCTCACGGCGTGTCAGTCTGCCTCGTCAGTCTGGAGCTACCTCATAATCTTATCATGAGGAGGGCCAAGAGGTCCGTCCAGGGTTCAAGTGTCTCATGAATATTCCGAGAGTCATGTTGGTTTTTAATGCCCACGGTGAGGCCCACCACACAGGACGGGAGGAGACTGTATCTGTGTGTGTGTGTATGGATTGTAGAAAGAAAAAGGAGTTGAAAACAGAGGATGGAAATGTCTTTTAAAATGAGTCCTTTTGTATTCCTCATTAGCAAACTCTCTTTGACACCAGTGACACCGAAGTCAAGGCCCAGTGCGACTGCGAAAGCGGGGCCAGCAGTCATAAAAAAAAATGACAAATGCTGCTTTTTCCCATCAGGGGCCAAAAATTCCTCCATAACCCCTCTGAATGAATGATATGCGGCGTTCATTTCTCAATACGGCCGGGCGGAAAAGTAGAAGCTGTCAGTTAAAAGTCAACACCGGGCCTGTTGGTGGTTTTCACGATTAATAATCCATTGTGAAGCCTGACAGGAGTCATAGATTGTGGGAAATCAGACTCTTGTCACTTCTGATTTTTCGAGCAGCGGTTCTTAAACTGTGGACTGAAAGTTACACCCGACTCTCACAGAAGTTGTTTGATGCTCCAAGAACTCCGTTTCCCAACAGCGCCACAGAATAAGGACGCATTCCTGGTTAGAGAAACGATAAATCTTTAACTATGTTTTTGGTAAAAATGACATGTAGACCCCGAGATCAACCCTTGAATTGTCAGTATTGGCTTTCCTTCGGTAAACATTATCTCAAAACTGCTAAATCTGGCACTTTGACGAGAAGAATTCCTCCAATTTTAGACAAAACGGAATAATCATGATCTGTTTCACACCAGAGCAGACATTCTGTTTTGCATAATGTACAGCGGTTATGTAACGAGGAGACTATGCACGGCTGAAAATGACCATACTGAGGACGGATGTGTAATTTCTCACCTGAAAATATCTCCAACACTTAAGTGTGACTTCAAAAAACAAATACCATGTGCTGTTGTGTTGAAAACGCTGTACGATAAAAGTGTGATTACAACAGATTCAAAAATGTGCGAGCTTGTTCACAGAGATCTAAAAAAAACTGAATGAAATAATGTAAAATTAAGAGCAAATAAGACAAAAAGAAAACAAAAAGAAGCTTCAAAAACTATCATGAGTGAGCTATAATGACGCTACATCACCTTTAATTAGCATAAAAACTGCATCAATGAAAACACATCTTTTTTAAAAAACAAGCTCCAACCTTGGTGTCCATACTGGGATCCTTGGGGTCCATAAGGGCCCGCGGGGCCGCTCTGGGAGTACGGACCCATGCCGGGATACACCGGGCCCCCGGGGGACGGGTGGGGGGACATCGGCGGTCCAGACTGTGGAGACGCAAACTGGGAACCTGCCTGGTTTCTCTGCATGTTGGACATGAACCCTGAAACACACACATAAAAAAAAAAAATCATCTTTCAGCTCATAAAAGTTCTTCAGCAGTGAATGCACCTGCTCAGTGAAATGTTGACTGAGGGCCTGATCGAGGGCGGTTATTCTCGGGCTCAACAAACCGGGATATCTATTCAATTTCCTCGTGTAAAGAGACCCTTTCCTTTTGATGAAAGCCGTAATCTTTTACCTCGGCGCTGACTCCTGGTACTCGTAGATACTGTATACTTTGGTGAGTAATACAGCATCGGATCGGGTACGAGACAAAAACACACACACAAAAACATAAAAAAATATAAACTGACAGGTTGAAATGTAAAAAGGAAGCCCGAGCACAAGTAAACACACACACACAGGGAACGTCTGAGTGAATTTTATCGCTGGCAAAAGCACAGGTCAAGAGTATACCTGGCCCTCGAAGATGTATGTGGAAGCAAAAGCTGAGCCTATGTGTACATATGAAAGAACGAGTTAAAAAAAAACAAGCCGACCGTGCGCTCCGCTCTCCACAGAATAGCCGGTGATTTGACCACGGCTACTATGTTATTCTAAGCCGTTCTGTCAATAGATGTGTCAAAGCCTCTCAGGCCCAAACTCGCCTGCACCATTCAAATTGACATTTGGAGCGATCCTCGCCTGGGCTTCGCTCTTTCAAGCTGCATCGTTCCGTTTTTAAAACCCACAGAAAGGTCTCCCAATCCGCCACGAACGGGGGAAAGGTCGCTGGATGGCCATTGAGGGAAAAAGAGAGCTTGTGTGGGTGTGGAAATGTATGTGTGTTAAGGGGAAGAGGAGGAGGTGGAGGAGGGGGGGTTTAGTATTGCAGATTAGGTGTAAATGGATTGGGTCCGCTCCACTGTATACTTTGATAGCTATCCGCTTTGTTGAGCGAGCGCGGGCATCGGCTCTTTAGCGAGTTTGGGGGGTTTTAGGGGGGAGTGGGAAAGTGCAAGCTGACACTTGTGTAATTCCTTGTTTCTGCTAAGAGAAGCAGGAGAGAACGTGAGGAAAAGAGGGAGCGAGATAAAAGTTTTTTTTTTCTTAAAACGCCGTGTGTACTCGCTACATGCTTGCGTGCACATACATATTTTGTGTGTGCGGCGGGAGATAACAGAGAGCAATAAACGCTGCATGTGTTTGCGGCGAAGACGCGAAGGCCAAGACAGAAAAAGAGAGAGAGAGAGAGAGGAAAGTGTGTGTGTGTGTGTGTGTGTGTGTGTGTGTGTGTGTGGGAGGGAAAGACAGTGCAACGGAGGGAAAGAGCGATTGGGGCCTGAAAGTGCTTAGGCTGCGAGTGCTGGGTTTAAGGAGCGAGGACATTATTGTAATGTTTTGCTTCCATTAGGGTAAGGGGATTCTGGGAGAGGAGGAGGAAAAAATACAGTGTGTAATACCGCACTTTAAATTGCCTGGAAAATGGATGGGGAGAGGAACATTGTGCAGACAGTGCTAAAAGCAAATAACACATTCAAGGATTTTTCTCTCTCTCTGCTTCGTTCCCTCTCCACACACACACACATAAACACACACACACACATATAAAGCTTTCTCTCTTTTCTGGCAAAGCGAATGAAGCTCTCAGCCGGACAACAACAGGCAGCCGGCAAAGCACGCGAGAAAAAGTAGAAGAGGGGGGAGAGAGAGAGGAGGAAAAAAAAAAGGGACATTCAGCGGATTTATGGAAATGAAGAGAGGCTCTTAGGGAGGCAGGCACTTGAGCAAAGTGGGGCGTGTGTGCAGAGGAGGAGGAGGACGATGAAGAGGAGGGGGGTTAATCCTAGGCAGGAAAACAGAAAAAAAAAAACAACAACAGCCAACCCCGTTAACCGTGCCGTGTTTTCCTGGACCGGGCTTGGGAGGAGAGCTCAAGGTTTACAGGCATTAGAGAGCAGCATTAAATCTCAGACTTGATTTCATCATGTTGGGAAATAACCTTTTACAGTGCCTCCCTCTCTCTCTCGCTCTCTCCCTCCGTCTTCATCCATCCACTCCCTCTGTCTCTCTGTGATGTTAACTGCTCTTTGGTGGGTGATAGAGAGGGAGCATGGCAGTAATTCCATTAAGGTTACATTCAGCTCTTTGAGGGTTTTTTTTTTTTTGCAATGTTGTGTGGATTTTATTTATTTATCTATTTGTTTTGTTTCATTTTTTATTTTGATTTATTTATTTTTTTCTCTCGTAAATGAGCGACTCTGCTGTTTTTAGCAATACCCGAGAAGTGGCCATAATTGCTGGAAAACAATTTCCAGTTCGGTCAGTACATGTGGCTTGCGGGTTAGCATTCATGCTACAAGCCTTTGGCAACAATTCGTGGCCAAAAAGCTGAAGTGGCTCCATCAAAAGAACACACGCTCCCGATTTGAACCAAGCCCAGGGGAAGGTTGACTGGATGTTTACCGTTAGGTTTTTGCCAAATCGCAACCCTCCTCCCTCCCCCTCCTGACCATGAAGTTGACCACAGATGAAACATAATGCGAAGGTCTTGGGTCTGTTTGCGAGCGTGTGATCCTGCTTTTCCTAAACTACGGCAATTATCAACGGATCAAGTATGATTTTGAAAGCCTGCTTTTGAGTGCATGCTGGCATACAGGTATAAAGCTAAAGGCATCCTTGCTTTTCAACCCACACGGACTCTTTTCTGCAGAGTGTAACTTTACACTGTTTACACCTGCAGCGGAGGGTGGTGCCAAAACAAGAAGGTGAGCTTTCGATTTGGAGATTGTGGCGTCCTTGGTTTCTGGACCCTGCAGAGCGCGCTAAAAGTTAAAGTTTTCTAAGGAGTTTGAGTAATATTGATAAGATAACATGTACAGACTAAGAAATTAAGTTACTAAGCAACCGCTGCTGGCAAATGAATGCAGACGGGGTGATCGAGACTCCAACGTGAAGTCCTGTTTGACGCAAAGATGTCTTTGTGGGCGTCCCTATAGCTCACCTGGTTGAGCGGGCAACCCATGAACAAGGGCTACAGTTCCCCGACGCAGCGGTCATGGGTTCGACTCCCGCTCATGACCCTTTGCTGCAGGTCTCTCCCCATTCTTCTCCCCCCTTTCCTGTCTCACTCTCTCACTGCCCTAACTAATAAAGGCAAAATAGACGGATACAATAATCTTAAAAAAAACTCCCCCAAAAACATTTTCACACTTTATGATCCATTTCTGTGTAAAAGGGCTGCACACACCTTGTGTAAAGAATATAAACATAGAAAGGTACAGAGCTTCAGTTCAGACATGCATGGAGTCAGGGCATCACAAGGCCACCTTTCCTGAGCTTCAGGTTTTTTCCCCCCTCCCTTGGGTTTTTTTTTTGGTTCCGTCCCACCGTTGCCAACCACTTGCTCAGAGGGGGTCCAAAGGCAACTTTGGATTGCTGGGTTCTCTGTTTAAATTTGTTATAAACAGCGCTATACAAATAAACTTGAACTGAGAATTGAATTGAATAACCGCGGTTGTTTCCCATATCGTGGGACTGTAGTATGGTTCATTATTGTACCTTGGAACTATGTAATCAGGATTTGGTAAAGTGAGGACCATTTAGTTGGTCTCCTTGTTCTTGTGTTTATACTGCAGTTGAATATTGTGGATGTAAGGCTCTGCTGGGGGGGTGTTGTGATCTCAGGGACTATCTGTGTCATGCTTGCTCAGGTTGTTCCAGAGCAGAGTCACCACCAAACTCAATGCATGTGATCCCAAATAAATGAGTAAATCTGACAAAGTGTTATGTTATGTTAACAATGCAGAGCTCTGTGGCACATATGCAGCCGTGACTGATCATAGTCTAACTTATGCCCTGTCCAGAATACGCTAACAGGGTTGAAACTAGGGATGTCCGATATTTACTTTTTTTTAGCCAATATCCGATATCACTAACTCTCAATTTCCGATTCCGATATCAACTGATTCCGATATATGTTTGTTGCTGCAACCACACTTGTTTACACGTTTCACGACGCAGTTTGGTGTCGTCATTATTTGCAAAAACGGCATCGATATTGACAGATATTACATATTTATGCCAATATCGACCACCCCTAGTGGAAACGCATTAGCTGTAACTCTACATGTTGCCTCTCTAAGAATGTGCAGATCTATGAAGTCCCTGCCTCTTTCTCCACCAGCCCCTTGTTACAGCTCAAGCACACCAGCTCACCAGCTCAAACACCATCAACCTACTCCGTGCTATACAAGTTGTAATAGAAACCAGGAACTGATTCTGGAGAAAAATAAGGAAAGTCCCACCCACAAGATGAGAGGAAGCAAGTCTAAATATGTGTTTTAGAGTAATCATCATCATCTGTGTTGCTTATGATTTTTCTTTTAGCATGAAAAACACCATATGGACACAAAAAAAAAAACAAACAACAACTTGATTTTCATCAGAGAGGGTCTGTAAATTCAAGTCAAATTGTTTGCTCACATCTCTGCGGTAACGTCTTGCATTCCAAATCCTCTTATTCCCCGAGGAAATCTTTCATTACAGCCACTGTTATTCTCTGAGCTGCGTGTAAATACCGTCTCTATTTTCTGTTTGTTATGGCCTCCTCGCTGCTGCGAGATGTAAAGAAACAATGGAAACTATTTCTGTACAGCACAAGGACTACAGTGTAGAAAATGGGTCTTCTAAGGACACATGTTCTCGTCATTAAATCACACCAAAGCAGCAACAACAACAAAAAAAAAAGCATCTCCCAAACACACACATGTATACACATTAATCTCTGTCTACTCCTTGCAGGCTCCACCAGACAAGGTCAAACACCAAATGTTTGCCATTGGCTAGCACACAGACGTACCTCTCTCCTGAGCCATAGGTGAGCGTGTGATTGGCGGGTGGGCTCCATCTGGTCCGTTTCCAGAGCTCTGCGGCGCCATGGTCGAACCTGAACGACAACAATGAAGTATGAAAATTCAGGCAGCCGTGTGGCACCAACACATTTTAGTCCTACAATGGTACCATCCTGTCGCCGTAACAAAAGCTGTCACATTAAAAGGAAATGCTTTGCATGAATTGTATTCCCTCCTTTGCATGAAAGTGAGGTCAACAGAAAATGGTTTTATATTTGCTTTGAAGAAAAACTGCACAAACTGATGTCACAATTAAGCTTTGAAGGACCACTTTTGTTTCTCTCTCCGCATTTCTCTCAGTGCCACAAAAGTTAGGCGGTTCAAAAAGTTTTCTGCCGTTTGATTGTTGAAAGAAAAACACTGAGGGATCAGTATTAGGCAGGAGTTCTCTCTCTTTTTTTTTTTTTTTTTTTTTTTGTTTTGACTGAAGCCGCCCTGGCTTTGTTTTGTGAGCATCGATTGATTGGGTCATGGGGTCTGATGCCAAATTTAGCCTTTACAGGCGCGCCGAGAGCTCAGCGCAATTACTATACATGAAGTTGTTTGTGATTCGCTATTAGCTAAATGACAAATGCACTTCCAGAGGACATATCAAGTCATTGGACCCTCTGCCACTTCCTTGTGTAAGCATTAAAACCAGAGCGATCCCCTATAGAAAACCAGAGCCATTTGAGGATCATTGATTAGGTGGTTGTGCAGGTCTTTGGGAAGCGCCTGTTCCATTGAAATCCAATAGCGAGTTGAGGGTCTGATTAGGACAATGGCAGACGGAGACTATGGTGGATTGATTTGGCCTAGAGGAAGGAGAGAGATGGCAAATTAACCTTTTATCTTTGGATTCAGGCCGGAGACAATGATGAGAGGAAAAGACGAGGGGATAACTGGTTTGGGTTTTGGTTTTTTTTGCTCTTCATGTACACTTCTGCGGCTGAGGTGGACAATCCAGCGCTTAAATGCGATTTAAACGACACGCGGCGAGCGCGGACACGAGGCCCGATTGTCGCTACATATTTTTACAATTACAGCATAAGGTTTTACTTGCCTCGATAGAAATAGGAATATGTGCCAGAAGTGATTGTTTACTGGGGATGATACATTATGAAGTACAGTTAGAGTGCTGTATTAACACAATTTGGTTGCTACAGTGTCCTTAAAACTCACAGTGAATATAAATCCCTTATTATAGAGGAAACACTTCACATTATTCAATCACTCAGTGGAACGTGTGCTGTTTTCGAGAAGTGTGTGTCTGTGTGTTCACGTGTGTGTGTGTGCGTGCGTTGTGTCTGTCCACGGCAGCAGTAATACATGACTGGAGGTGACACACTCTCCACATAAACAAACCCAATTAAGTCAACATAATTGCTTTGCATAAAAATGCATAAACAACATTTCCATCCACCCGCCGCCTACTCACACACAAACTCGCGCGCGCTCACACACACACACACTTACAACATGCAAAGTAATTGCACAAACAAGTGTAAATAAACACACTGGAGCACACAAAGAAACACACGTAAGAACACAAAGGCACATAGGATACGGGCTGAAATATTCACGCACACAGACCCCCCGCCTCACACATGAATAGATCCAGCGGCGCCGCTTCAAAGAGAGAATATTCGATTAGTTAGTCTGTCACCATGTTGCAGGAGGCAAGCAGAAAGGTTGCTATGTGAACGTTGGAGCAACTGTGAGATAACGCTGGAAACGCTGGCTACTTGCTGTAATGTGTGCAGCAGCCATGAAAGAAGATCCACCGCGTGAGTAAAAGTAGAAATACTCTATTACAAGTCGAAGCTTTCTATTAAAAACTTAAAAAGCAAAATATATGAAACAAAACATTTATCAATACATACAACAAAATACAGTAAAGGACAATTATGAAGGATAACTATAGGAATTTTAACCTGGAGTAGCGGAAAGTAACTGAGTACATTTACTCAAGTACTTTACTCACAACCACATTTGAGCTACTTTCTTCCATTTTCTGCTTGTCTTATACTTCTTCTCACAACAATTCAGAGTCATACTTTTTGCTCCACCTTCATTTCCAGCTTTAAATATGAACTATTTTGCATATTTAGATTAATAACACAAAAGCCAATCAACAAATAAATCACCATGTAACAGTACACAGTGCGATAAAACCATATTGATCCTCGAGGGGGAATTCACAAACTACCCAGCGGATAATAAAGTAGTTAAATCACCTTTACCGGCTTAAAGTGATGGAGACATTAAGGCATCAATAATTCAAATTATGATTATGATTATTATGAAAGGCGCCATTGTGCGTGATCAGCGCTTGAAGTACACTTTGATGCTAATATTTCTGCACTTTTACTTAAGTGTAAATTTAATTGCATGACACAGAACGTTTCTACGCCGTGGTACCATCTTCCATTATATCAGAAACAGAAGCAGGTATAGTTTCCACGACACGAGGAATTTGTTCTGGTGGGTGTTGTGCAAACTATAACTAACTATATACAGTGCCTGGAGTTCAATCTACGTAAAGCATCATGTTCAATAAGCTGGTCTGCAAAGCATTCATCATCTCTACTGTACCTGCTTTAAAAAAACACAGTGAGAATTATATTTCCTCTTTGATATAAAGTAGTGCTGGAAATCAAAGTAGTATGTAAGTAGCACAAACTGCATAATGGAAATAATAATGGAGACACTAATGCACAAGTACGTGTGCATATGCGTGCATGCAACTGTGCGGGAAAATGCTTCCTCCAATTTGCACGTGCGCCCTAATGCGTTCTGCTTCAGTGTGTATATTACGTGTTTGTGTGTGAAGCCTGAAGCGTCTCGCAAAGGGGTCACGGCCGCTTGTTGCCGGAGGGACAGATTCATCTGCAGCCCAGGTTTAGATGGGTGGGAAGTGAGAGAGACGAAGGAAGGATGCTCGCAGGAGTTTACTGAACCCTTAAACTGTGGAAGTGGACCCTACGATAAAGGCTAGCCTCTGTGTGTGTGTGTGCATGTGTGTGTGTGTGTGTGTGTGCATGTGTGTGTGTGTGTGTGTGTGTGCAGGGATGCATGCCAGGCACCAGCTTTGCTGTCAGACTCTGTTTGTTTGGATGGCAGAGTGGTAGTGGCAGCAGCTTGTACTGTATGTGTGTGTGTGTGAGTGTGTGTGTGTGTGTGTGAATGCATGCCACTGTGAAGGTAGGAATAGGGAACAGTGCCCTCCATGCTCCACTACTCTCTCCACATACCCATGTAAACTGTCACCAGAGATGAAATTAATGCCAAGACATATGCGTGAGTCTGTGTGTGTGTGTGTGAGAAAGAAAGAGAGACAAATGAAAACCAATAGGGCAAAAGAAGAAAGACAAGAAACAGAAAACCTTGTTCTGGAAAAAGGAAAATTGAAAACCAGATGAGAGAGACGTGGTAGCACAACAGTGGAGCATGACGAGGCCTCACCCCTCCTTCCTTCTTCCTCTCCAATGAAAGAGTAAACTTTGTGCGCTTGGTAATTATTTCACTACCAATTACTGTCCAAACAAAGCCTCTTCTCACATTTTCTTTCTCTTCCGTTCCTCCCTTGCCTCTCTCCTCTCTCCTCTCCTCTCCTCTCATCTCCTCACTATCATTTTTAACAAGGTGCCATTAAATAATTACGTCCAAATAAAACAAACAGGCTCCACAGTGAGTCCTGGCACTTTTAATCCACACTATTAATAATTCATATGCTGAATCTTTGACGTGCAGTTCTTCTCCGTGTGCTGCCGAGAGAGAGCGGAGAGGGGAGAGGAGCTAAATGTCAGCGGGAGTTGACTGTATACCTTTTCCCCGTCCACAGGAAGGAAGAAAAAAAAAAAACAAAGTCTTTGCTATGAATGAAAATGTAAAACAAATAAATGGTATGGAAATGCTTCCGCAGCGCTTCGGGTCATCTTCCTCCTCCTGCCAGTGCGCTTGTGAATGTAGTTTCGTATTTGGCTGTAGCTGTGTGAGATGTGGAACTTTTTCTTGTGCCTTTTTGAAAATACACAATCAGGAAAAGTTTTTTAGCAATTACGTGTGATTTGAAAGGTTTGTTTTTTCAGTGCTTTAACGTAAATGTGAGTACCGTAAATTCCAGATGTTGAGCAGCTACTTTTTTCACACGCTTTGAACACTGCGGCTTAAACAATGACGCAGCTAATTTGTGGATTTTTATGATTTTTACGAATTTGCCTCGAGATAAAAGTGACATTGAGAGCGACAACGAAAGAGAGACTGAGGAAGTGTGCGACAAAGTAATTCTGAGGCTGTTCAAGAAGACAACTTTAGTGGTTTTAGGGCGCAGGAGGAAGATGAAGATAGCGATCAGTGACTTTTCCTGGTAGGCTGCTGTATTTTTTTAACCAGCCGTGTTACAGCCACTGCTCTGAAAAAAGCATTTACAGTGTGCATTTGTGTATGTTACCGATAGGGCTGGACCCAACTAGCCGACTAGCTGACTATTCGTTCACTGTGCTGGAATCGAGATACCAATTTTGATCTATGAATTGTCGTCATCGTCCTCCGCCGCCGCCGCCACTGAGGGCGGTTACAGTACGGTGATGGCTGAAACGCTCACTCACTGCAGCGCCCCCACCCCGTCGTACTGAATACCCACCCGCCACCACCACGTGGCACCCCGAAATATTCGGGATATACGCCATTAATTGGGGCCGAATATCCAGAGAACAGAAATTCGGACCAGCCCTAGTTACCGGTACGTTTTTAGCTAAAAGTTTAAAAAATCTCTCTGTGTAAATATCTCATGCTACAACATGGACACCTGTGGCTTGTAGACAAGTGTGGCCTGTATATGTACATTATTATTTATTTTTTAAAGTTAGTGGGTGCGGCTTATATTCAATTGCATTCAATAGTCTGAAAGTTACGGTACTTTTAAGTGTAACAGGGACCATGTTTAAATAAGTGCAGCCATTCTAGTATCTTTTTGCAGCTTTGTCTTCCAGCTTGTACCTGAATTTGTCCTCGATTCATATTTTCTCTTTCTGTGTGCTTCTCTCATGATGCT